GGTCTACTGCTCTTCTTTGTTGTCAGCAACTTTTGCTGTAATCAGCAACACAGACCAATTCCTCCAAAGAAAACAAACACGCTCCTTAAAAAGACCTTTGATCTGCCGTTATCTGCAAAGAAGCATTCAAATTAGATGGCTTATATTATTATAACCCATAACACTGCAGTTTCACAGAAATAAACACAATTTCTGCTCACATAGCCATATTTTATCCGCTTTCAAAACAGACATCACAACCTGCATGTGCTTTCTAAGAGCAAAAACTGACATTAACACATTTTTTTATTAGCTGCAAACCATACCTACCGTTCTGGGCGTTTTGTTCATTTCTGGATGTGCTACTATGCATATTTTTTCAAGCAATCAACACTGTGATTGCCAAAAACACACACCAGGGGTGGAATTGCCATTTGTGCAGCCTGAGCAGCTCCACTAGGGTCCTGTGTCATTTATAATGGATGCAGGGCTAGGACCCTCCTACTGTTGCATGGACCAGGGCATTCCTCATGTTGGGCATACTAAGCTATTGGATTGTAATGTCAGCCAGTGACACTTTACTTAACTCCTTGACCAACGGTGAGACATGCAGGATGCTTTTCCCAGTTTCTTTTGACATCATTTGGAAGTAAGTGTTTGCTGTTTCATATTTGAATCATTAGAGTCTCCAGGGCATTGCAAAGGCTATTTTCCCACTGCATCTATTGTATGTATTTGTCTAGCTATCTGTTTATACCAGTGGTTCTCAACCTTTCTAGGGCCGGGACCCCTTGGTAACATTTGCCAAGTTGTGGTGACCCCCAACGGTAGAATTTTGGGTTGACGCGGCAGCTGCAGTGACATCTGGCGGCGTGGCGGGAGAACTGACACGGCTGAGGAGGACTCTCACCTAGCACAGCAGAAATCAAACAGCGACCCACAGCTTGAGAACCACTGTTGTAACAGCTAAAATGGCAAACCATATAACACAAGCCGAGGGTGTCCGCTTTTATTATTAATAATGATGATAATCACTAGATGGGGACCTGATGGAGAACTCTGATTGACAGCAGCAGTGGGCAGGTGCAATAGCTAGTTTGCTATTGCAAAGTGAAATAGCCAATAGGAATGTAGCTATGCATTCCAATGCTGATTTTATTTATTTTTTTCTGACTTACGGCGGCCGGGGCTCCGATGTCAGAAATAAAAAATAAAAACGATCGCAGCGAAAGGTTTACTCTGCTCGATTGAGCAGATTAAACCTTTCCGGGAGAATTTGTTTATCTCCTGGGCGGCCGGGAGCCGCTATCTAATAGCGGGAGACTCCCGGCGACCCCTGGCAAATTGTCATTCGACCCCCGAAGGGGTCCCGACCCATAGGTTGAGAACTGCTGGTTTATACAGTATATCTATACACAGTCAATCAGTGTTTGCTCTTGGGCAGTATTTAAATGGGTGCCAAAACATTGTTCTACACTGGGAATCCTCGGTGTCTATATCCACCACTGTGACACAGGGGCCGCTTTAGTCTGGTTTGCTCATTTATTTTATTGTAATTTGTCTTAATTGCTGTTGGTCATATTTCTTTTGGTGGGGATCACATAAAGTGTGCAAACTTATGTAATCCATAACGCTGACATTTATATGGATGCATCAGGCTTTACTTTGTGGCCATATGGATGAGTTCATATTTTTTACATGAACAGTGTTGACCTGCTCTACATTCAATGACAACAATTTTTTTAAATCGAAGAAAAAAATAGAGGTTTGTTAGCAGAGGTGTCTGTTCCTCGTTTAGTGGTTAAAGGGTAAATGTACTTTTATTGAAAAAGAAAGTGTCTTATTAAGAGTGTACAGATTAGAGTGTGGTGTAGTATGTAATATGCAGAGTAAAGTTTATGATGTACAGACTTGAGTAAGTGATATACAGAGGGGCATGGCATAGGGTACGCGATGCACAGAGTGGAGTGAGTATGTGATGACAGAGGAGTGGTGTAGGGTACATGATGTACAGGGTGGAGGGTTGTGACGTACATGATGTACAGAGTGGAGTGGTATGGGGTACATGATGCACGGAGTGGTATGGGGTACATGATATACAGAGTGGAGTGGTGTGGGGCACATGATGTACAGAGTGGAGTGGTGTGGGGCACGTGATGTACGGAATGGAATAAAGTAGGTGATGTACGGAGTGGAGCCGGGAAGGGGATGTACAGAGTAGAGTGGGGAAGGGGTTGTTTGGAGTGGAGCGGGATAGGGGATGTGGAGTATGTGATGCACACAGTTGCGTGGAGTACATGCAATGCACGGTGATCTTGAATTCTTATTACTTTAATGATTATTATAGGTGGTAGTAAATGGGAAAGGTACAGAAAACATTATGGCGCCCCCATGTATAGGGTTCTGTCAAATGCTATGTAAAAAGAGTTAAAAGTACATACAAAGCTGAAACTGCTGCCAAATGGGGAAAAAAACACAGCTGATATACATTTATGTAAACTGTTTTACATACTGAAATGTGTTATTCTGTGAAGCCTTTCATATTGTTTTCATTACCCTCCCTTGATAAGTATCCAGCTATAGTGTGTGCGAGCATTCTACAGTTTTGCATATTACTGCTGCTTCTCCAGCCTACTACTATAGTCCACTGGTGATGTTCCTTCTGTGACATTCACTTCCTGTAAGCCCTCTTACTAAAATAGCCCAAACGGCTCATAGATAAAGCGTGTTAGTTTGTCGGCACTGTGTATTACTATAAGTCCTAACTGGCACATAGTACAGCCCTTGCCAGTCTTTGCTTAATTCTGGTGTGCACACAATTATGGGAAATTATTATGGGTCCAGCCATTTTCAAGCAAAGGGTATAGGTGTATGGAAGGCAAATATAATTAACAGTTACATCAACACACAACATTCTAAACAATATTTCCAAGAACTAGCACTGCGCTGCTCTTGGTAGTGGTAGCGTAGTGTTTTTGATGAGGCTGCTTGCACAGAATTTTCATCCCCTCGGAGTTCTGTTCCTGTTGGGTATATATGGATGCCTATGTCAGTCCAGCATTTTATGGCTCTGTTTGGAATGTGCTCACACACCAGATTGCAAAGGGATGGCTATACTGCCAAGTCTTCACTACTTCCTACTACTACTTCACTTATTTCTGTTGCAGTAATTCAGTATTTAAATATCAGAGGCACAGTATTGAACAATTTCTCATTAATAGATGTTCTAAAATGACACAAATGGAAAAAAAAGTTCTGATAAATACCGTAATTAAGAGCTTTGACTGCATTCAATTGATATCAGCATAAGCCAGCACTGTGCTTTGTAACTTCCTGACTTCTGCTAGCTGTGCCATGAAAGTCGTGAGCAGATAGACTGCTCCCCCCACATATACATCTCATGGCTTTAATTTGCAACTCTGACCACAATGTACCTTGAACACCCTGTAATATTTTATGAGATATATGGTCCGTGGGCTGTGATGGGATCCAGAGGCACTGTTCCCCCTTGTGTCTCTGTTACTTCTGTACTTTGCCCCCTTTCTATCACTGTAATCCTCAGGAACCTCTTTTACACCCTCAGGAGCACTCTCCTCCTCAGCTCCTAAATAATTTCCCTAAGGTTTGTGTGATTTTATGGGGAATATTTCTTCCCTTTTGGAGGTCTCAGACCGCAGGGACCACAAGCATGCCCCCCTCACCTCCCCTCTAAGAATCTCCCTCTAAACATTTATTTCAATTTCTGAGTTCAATTGCATTTCATGTGGTTGATAGATGAGTCCACAACAAACATTAAAGTGAATAGGGCCACAAGTGGGATTCTGATTCTGTTGTAGGCAGAAATGCATGGCTGCTCTTTCAGATAGTGCTTCCAAAATGAGAATAAAACGCTGGTGCAGTTTCTTTATTCATTATGAATGTTCACAGTTTAGTTTGGTGTCTTGTTATTTATATATTTTTTTATTCAAATTATAGATTATACCATTAAAGATAAGGAAGGGAAGAAGAGTTTAGAAGGAGTTTCCTAGTATTGAAATAATGATTTGGACTGAACCGCTCTCCCATTTGTTTTTGCGGCTAGGCACAGCACATTGCTGGTTAATTTTTTAAACATGGGGTCAAAGTCTTATACAAGCAAACACTGTATTTGTGCTTGTATAAAAAAAAAAAGGTTTATACTATAGCATGCATTGTTTAGTGGCAATCGTTACATGCAGAGCCGTGCAGTTCCATCAATACCTGAACAATTATTACCTATACATGTTTTGTGAAATACTACAACAGACCTGTTAATAAAGGCAGAAACACTTTAGAGTTGAGATGGTGCCCACAGCAATCAAACATGCTTTACCTCAGTCCTAAAAACCTGTCTGCTGTAACCTGGTTGCTATCGGACAGTCCATCTACGCTTTACCCTAACTTTGTGCAGTAGTGATAATAGTCCATTTCCAGTAGTATGTTTTGGGACCATGTTACATGTGCTAAAATGTATACAAGTCACTTTACATTTGCATTAAATTGTACTTACTGGCAAGGTAATATTGCAACTATTCAGCAGTAACATGGACTTTAACGCCTCATACACATGGGCGTCAACATGCATGCGTCCAGATGCATTTCTAAATGCATCTGGAAGCATGTAATGTTTTATTAATGGCAGAATGAACACCTAGACACTCAGCAGAGTGCATTCAGTCTAGCTGTGTTTACACAAACAAGAAACATGTGCATCCTGGGACTGTTTAGCCTTGTTTTATACAGCTAAATGCAAGTAGATTTATATGCAGGCGAGATTAATATGGGAAGTAAAAGTGAAAATGTGTTTATACTTCTCAGATCATTTTCTCCTGGGACAAACACAAGACCTGTGTTCATGAGACCTAAAAAGTGTATTCTTATAGTGCGTTAAACCAATCCTATCATGGTATTTATTTTTCCTTAAAACACTTTTACATACTAATGTATCACTTTGTTACTTTAGTTCCTTTATAATAATTTTATATATAAAATCTTTCTTGCAGTGTCATTCCTTGAACCTGGAAAAAATGCCTGTGGAAAGGATGCGGATGCGGCCGTGGTTAGAAGAACAGATAAATGTAGATCGTATCCCAGGGTTGAAATGGCTAAATAAGGTACTACCCAAATTATTAATGCTATTGTTTCCCTAGCATTGTTATTGTCCTCTTTTTAGGCGATGCTACTTGACTATATAGTTCATGAACAATAATAAGTAGCTTTTTTTTACTTTATAAAGGAGAAATCCAAGGACCCTTTCCCTCTGTAATACAAATGACAAAAGTAACTTCTTCTGTAAATTTGTATTTACTTAAAGGAGAACTTTGGGGTAAGTGTATTTCCCCATTGTTATCCTAAAGGTCATATACTAGCGTCCTCCCATGACCCAAAGTAGTACGAGCTACAGCACGCGGTATACTGAGACCGCCGCAGCCGGGACAGTTCCCGACATTACTGTCGAGATCCACCCAGCTGCGTGATTGACAGCTGTCTCTGCCTATCTAGAGGCAGAGCCAGCTGTACCCTCCCCCGTCTGTTCTTCCAGTCAGTGCTGGGGGATCAAAGCGGGGAGGGGGGGGATTCCTGCAGGGAGCCGTGAGTGACAGTCACTGCTCTCTGCAGGGACATGATCAAGAAGTGAGTGAGCGACGGTATGTGTTCGCTCTCTTCTCGATCTATTAAGCTGACGTGTGACAGTTTCATTGTCACACGTCGGCTCGAACTATGAGGTGGAGTGAAAATCACTCCTCATAGTTCGCCTTTTAAATAATGTTTTCACTGACCCCCAACTTTTCTTCTGCTACCATTATTTTTATGACACTGGATTACATCTGCTCTTGTGGCTACAGTGACTTACAGTTGGTTGAAGCCTAGTCTAGTTCAGGGGAACCTGCTGCCAGGTTACGGTGTACCAAGGAAAATGTAGTGTACATTAGCTGGGGTTTTCAATGACAGATTTGTATCTCTTAGTTTAGCTAACTGTTCCTATACAGTATGTTGGTCAAGTTGTTGCAGAATATCTGTGTAGACCAGTATTGTAAATATAGCAAGATCAATTGGAATAAAGTATTTTTTATTGATTTGTCATTGCTCCCTGATGAATGTGCAAAGATAAAACAGAAATAAAGTTCATAGGACTTAAAGGGGGTTCCTTTATCAGGTAAAAACTATTTGTCTATCAATAGGGGCCTATTCTGGTCGTTCTAGTCATTCCTGGCTGCCTAGATCTAAGGCTTTTTAATGCCTGTGGTGGATCCCTAAGTCTGCAATTGCTCTTTGCCCCTAAAAATATATTGTTCCCAAAGGAGTCCACTATGATCAATGCCATATCTGATTGTTTGAAGGCCCCAACTGTTTTTTCAATTTAACAGGTGGATTGCAGGGGCATTTTTTCTCAACTAGAATGTTTTAGATTGTAAGCCCTCACGGGCAGGGCCCTCCTTACCATCTTGTATTGTATTGTGATTGTAATGTCTTCCTTATATTGTAAAGCGCTGTACAAACTGTTGCCTCTATATAAATCCTGTATAATAATACTATATAATTGTTGTTCATATCTTTGATGTTCAGCAGTTCACAAAGTCAAATAGTGCTTACCTGCTCTTTGTGAAAGTCTTTGCGAATACTTTTTTTCTCTTACACACTCAAAAAAGCAGCAACTTCCTATAGGCTAGCAAAGCTGTACTCATTCTCTGATTATATTTCCATGGGACACCTTATTTTGATTTCTTACAGTTGGCCATGCAGTCAGTCAGGACTTTGGAGGTTGCTTTTCAAATTGTCCATGCACAGATGGTTATTCCCTCTGAAATGCAGTAAATATTTGCTGCTTTATTCTTCTTTATCAACAAAGGACAGTGCCAAGCTGGATGAAAATTTTCACAGAAATTTCCCCTATTGTTGATTGACTTTTACATATTATACGTTCATACATGGTCATTCACACTGTGCAAATATGTGATTCTGTAACGCTATCACAAATTCATCTACATTTGCTTTAAAAAAAACTCCAAAAACATATTTTTCATGAAAAATTGATTTACAAGGGTCTGAAAATGCTTGTGATCTTGTGTTGCTCTGTCACCTTTTAGCTTCTGCATAATCTTCATTTAATCAGTTCCGCAGTTAACATTTATAGTCACCTTTCATATCCTATTACGAAAGTGGATTGCATAATCCCTTTGTACAAGGAAATACATCAGACATGTTCATTTTGTCACCAGCTTTGAAACTTTATGTTGAAACTTTCTTTTGGATCATTCGATGTTGTAAAAGTTTATATAACTCATTTGGGATTGGTTAGCAATTACACAATACTTCATCATTTACCAAATAAAACAGCTGTCAATAACAATTGTAAGTGAGATATTTCTTTATCACATTTTTTTCTGCATGTCGGTTATCATGAGAAATGAGTGAACTTGTTCCTAGGCTGCAGGTTGGATAGTAAATCTCCATGAATGCAAAAAAAGATAATGATTAACTTAACTTCCCTAGCTAAAGAGTTGTTTGTCAAGCCAAAGCTTGTACTGGGCCGAGTAGCTGTCACATTGAGTTGTGTTTTTGTACTTATAGCTAGCTGTAACATGAAGACACGGGAACAGGGGTGTAGCTAAACTCCTTTGGGCCCTCATGCCAAATTCATCACCACAATATTATGTTCGTAATACCAGTTACCATAACATGCACACAAATAAATTGTACAATATAACCAAGCCTGGATTCAGAAGGGAGCTGCCCCTAACTGAAACAGGACCTACAGACAGCTCTACACTGCTGATATATTAACCTTGTGCCAAGACTACCCTTTCACTGTATTAAAAGAGAGGATTCATTCTTTCAGACACTAGGGATAAAGTTCAGATATAAGAAAAATGGTAACTGCACAAATAATCTCTCAAGATAACCGCGGGCATTTGAAAGTGTGTGTGTTTGGGGGGGTGTTTGTAGGCCGTCGAGTAGGCGAAAGGACGGTTCCTTAGTATGTGTGACACCAACCCAACTGTCAAACATGAAGGAGGAAGTGTGATGATCTGAGGCTCTTGCTGGGTCCAGAGTCAGCGACCTGCACACAGTGAGTGATACCCTGAACCAAAACTACTACCAGAGCATTTTGTAGCGCTATGCAATACCCTCTGGAATACGCCTAGTTGGTCAGGGGTTCATCCTACAGCAAGATAATGGCCCAAAAATTACCTCTAGGCTGTGTCAGAACTACCTTAGAAGAAAAGAACAAGATGGTAGGCTTCAAATCATGGAATGGCCAACACAGTCTCCAGACTTAAACACCATCGTGCTTGTTTTGGATGAACTGGACAGAAGGGTGAAAGCAAAGCAACCTACAAGTGCATCACATTTGTGGGAACATCTGTAACAGTGTTGGGAAGAACTTTCCGAACAATACTTGATTTCCATTGTAGAAAGAATGCCACAAGTGTGTTCAGCTATTATATCTGCAAAAGGTGGCTACTTTGATGAGTCACAAATTTAGATTACATTTCGTTTAAAGAAAATTATTCCATGATTTATTTTGGATGTACAGTTGTTTATAAGCGTTTCTCTCTACTCACCGCTTGGCATTAGTTCTGTGACAGCGGCTCCGTCCTCCGCCGCCGCCGGTTCCTTCACTTCTTCTCGGATCCCCGCTGCATACAGATGGGGAGAGCAGCGGGGATCCAGAGAAGCCCCACCGGCAGGAGGAGAGGACATTGCGATCTACCAGTGATCGCTACACGATCACTGGTAGATCGCGATTGACCTTATGGGCACCCCTGTTATAGACATTATTTCTGTGAGCAGCGAACTTTTAAACAAAGGGACAATATTTGATTGAACATTATTGCTTTTTTTGAAGTTTATTGTGGGATTGCCTTGTTTAATCTGTGTTAGGATGTGTAAGTAATATACAAACACTTTTTAATGTACGTTGTTGTGTATATGGTATGCTCATTGGATCCCATGTTTTTCGGAATACCTTTGTACAATTTATATTATCTTGGTGATTAAAGAAATGTGATTTATTTTCTTCAAAACCCTACTCCATTTAAATTTCTCTATTTTATTAACTCTCCTCTCTAATAGTTTTTATATGCCCAGCATCCCTTTCCTTCCATTTCATGATCTTTAGTAAATGAAGCAGTATGCTCACAGACTGTAGGACCTGCAGAAGGTGGTGTCCAGACATGATTACATAGTGGACAGTGGTCTCATCACAGGGAATAAAAAAAGCCAATAGTTGTAAAAGACCTTTCAAGTTTTAGTGAAAAAGGGGTAACTAGATGCAAATTGAAGAACAATTACACAAAGAGAAGCAGACTGAACAACCTTAAAGTGAACATGTGAGAACAGAAGGGAAGGGGCTCTCATCCTGATCCTGCCTTACTCTCCTCTGTCGCTTACCTGCAACACGCGGGTGCAACAAAATGTGGTAGTATGCACAGCATACGAGCACATTGTGGCAGACTTACCTCCCAAAACGATCCCCTCCAATGATGTACTTTTTCTTTACCACTTTTTCTTCTGGGTTTTAAGTGTTCGGCCGCTTGATTGGCTGGGCTCCAATGATGTTACACCCACACATACACACAGTAGTTACTTCATCTTGGCATGTCGGGTCTGTGCGCTGACCTGCACAAAAAAAAATCTGACAAATTAAAGTTTTTATAGCAGAAGAGACTTAAGGTGGCCATACATTGTAAAATTTTCGTTTCTGGCATGAACCCTCGTTCGATTTTACCTAGACTTCCCCATTAAGCATAGTCAAATGTTGATTTCAGAAATCGTTCATTAGCCAAACTAACCAACCAATATTTTGACAGACAGAAATAATTTCCTTTTGCACATAAGCTATGTTCTTGCAGAGATTTTAGATGAAAGAAAACCGCATTGATTCATCCATTTTTCATTCGGGCAGAATCTTTTTTTCCATCCTGACTAAATGGAAAGTTTTGATCACAATATCAAAAATTAAAATCTGGGATGTACCATCGATTGTTCTAATCCTGTTCAAAAGACAGTTCGTGTACTATTTTGTGAACGAAAATCGCACAGTGTATGGGCACCTTGACACAGTCTCTTTTGCCATAGAAGGTCAGCAGTTCATCCAGTATGCATCTAG